AGAACAAAAAGGGATTTTTTTTTGAAACTGAATCATTCTAATGTTCTACAATTATTTTCCTAGTGGTTTTAGTGACTTATTTGGTATTTTATTGAAATAGGATACACGTTGGGTGTTTATATTTTTAATACGAATTTTACATCTGTATGAACAAAACACTTAGAGCTGTCACATTTTACTGCAGAGAAGAATAGAATTATGGACAATGGCTGATTAACAGGCACAAATCCCTGAATAATCTTGAGTGGTGTAAATACAGTCCTCCGCTTTAAGTTTAAATCAGAAGTCACCAGTTGTCAAATACAGAGCTGTAGTATTTGGGGGGAAAAGTAATATGAAAGTAAATATTTACCTCAAGAAAAGGTGTCTGATGGTGGGGAGGAAGGCTTCTGCTTTATTACATCATGAAGTTCTGTATTATTTTTTTTTCAGTGAGAATGTGCTCTTTTATTACTGGTGTAATTTCTTTAAGGTTTAAAACAAAATAGTCATCTATTTCCATTATGGGGAAATAAAGAACAAACATCTTTTCTAATTCCATTATTAATTCCACCCCAGCCCATCCTTAATACTAATTATTAGCATTGTGGTCTTTTTTCTTTCAATTTAAATATATGCTAACCATTATTTTTTATAATTTCAGGAAATTAAGAGAAGTTGGCAGATTAAATCAAATGCATGCACATTAGTGGATGTTTTCCTGTAATGTCCTTCCAACAATTTGAATGTGCCAGACCCCGCCCCAGCCCTCAGCATCAGTCACAGTGGACGTGCATTGTCCATGCAACCTAAGAAAATCAGATGCAGAACTGAAAACACCACAACGTTAAAAATTATATAAATAGAATTGAGTAGAGTCTTGGTTCCGATTGCATCATTTACTGCACATATGCTGCATTATTTAAAAATCAAGTTAAAGTAAAATCACCCTTGTAATTTGACATGCACCCTCTACCCTCTAGGTTCTGCCTTCTCAGTGTCACTCAATTGAGACTCAAAGGTGAACTGTTTTTATTTATGTTCCTAACGTGAACAGAAGAGGTCACTTTATACTTGCTTGTGTACACACACATACCACACACACACACACACACACACACACACACACACTCTCTCTCTCATGCTTGTAATCTACAGAGATAAGGGAAATATTTGTTTAATTTTGAAAAATGGGCAATGACATAATTAAGTGCCCCTCCTGATGGATGCTGCTGCTGTTGATTTTACCTCCTTCTTGCAACCTGCCCATGCTTTTCTCCTCCCAGTCAGCTCTCTGATGTCCCAGGGTCTCTGATGGTAAATAATTAATGGGACAGTTAGCTTGTGTTGGGGAGCAAAGCTGTCTTACTCACAAATGCAACCACTATACCCTGAGCCGTTTTGTGATTCCTCTTTACAAAAATACACAACCAAAGATCCCCAGTAATCTCCACTCAGACACAGCAATCTTGCATTGGTGTTTTGGGAATGATGCAGATGGTGTGTGATGCTTATCCCTTCCATGGATTTTTCAGAATGGTCCCTTTGAAGTAGTGGAAGTCATGGCTTAGAATCAGCTGTAAAGACCCCGAACAGTGTCAAGCGCCTTTACTGTAAGCCCTTGTCTTTGCCTTTCTACAGAGCAGGATTTTTCTGCCCTGATGGTGGCGCTTACATAGTGTGCCATATGGTCGGCCCTGCATTTAGGGTATGATATTTTGATTCACTTCTGTACATTTTGTTACAAAAACAAACAAGCAAACAAAAAAACGTAAATGTGAAGTTGAAAGAATTGAACCATGTACATCCATTACCCACTACCTAAATTCTACCATTAACATTTTCTAAAGTTGCTCTCTCACATTCTATCCGTATTTGTATCCCTGTGTCCATCCATCAATCCAATATTTTCAGTACATTTCAAAGAAAGTTGCAAGCATCTGTACACATCACCCTCAAAATCTTCAGCACTTATGTTATTAACTACAGTCCAATATTGTTGATAGTGCTTGTGGGTAAAATCCATATAGAGCAAAATGCACAAGTCTTCATTAGACTGTTTGATAAGCTTTGACAAGTAACAAACAGCAATTTTCTCATGCCCCCGCCCTGGTAAACTTCATGCTTGCCCCTGCCCCCCAGGAACCACCATTCTGATTTTTTTTCACCCATCGATTACAACAGCATATAAACAGAATCATTTTGTGATCAGTCTTTCACTCAGCATTATGTTTTGAGACTGCCTGTCACTTATTTCATGGATCAGTAGTTCATTCCTTTTTATTGCTGAGTAGTTACTAAACCACCGTAGTTGTTTATCTGTCCTTCTGTTGATGGACACGTGCTATTTACAGTTTGGAAACAGTATGAATGAAGCTGCTGTGAACATTCTTGGATAAGCTTTTTAGACATATTTCTCTTGGCTAAATATCTGAAAACAGAATTGCTGGATCATAGGGTAGCTGTATGTTTAGTTTTATAAGAAACCACCAGACTTGTTTCCATTTTACACTCCATTTGTGCCATTTTACACTCCAGCCAATGAAGCATGAGTGTTCTGGTTGCTCCATAATCTCACTAAATATTGTAAGTCTTCTTAAATTTTGGTGATTCTGGTGGGAGTATAGCTGTGTCTGCTTCTGGTTTTAATTAGCATCTGTCCGATAATTAGTGATATTGAGCTTTTTGAATATTTTTAATATCCTCTGCTGTTCCAATCTTTGCCCATTTTTAATTGGGCTGTCCTTTATTACTGAGTTTTGGAATCATTTTTGTATTCTGGATACCATTCTATTTTTTTCTTGATTTACGTTTGGTAAATATTTTCTTCCAGTATACAAGTTGCCTTTTCACTTTTAAACGGTAGCTCAATCTTCTGATGAGCAGAAGTTCTAAAATTTGGTGAAGTCTAATTTAGTAATTTTTCCTATCATGGTTATTGCCTTCTGTGTCCCATCTAAGAAATCTTTACTTACTCTCAAGACATAAATATATTCTCTTATGTCTGTTTTTCTAGAAGTTCCATAATTTTAACCTTTATGTTAGGTCCATGGTCTGTCTCAAATTAATGTGTTGGGGGAGGGGGGCGGGGGTGAGAAGTAGGAGTCCAAGTTTCTTTTTATTCATTGTGGGTGTCCAGTTGTTCCAGCACCATTTGTTGAAAAGACTGCTTTTCTCATTGTATTGCTTTGGCACTCTTGCAAAAATCAACTGAATGTACAAGTATGGGTACATTTCTCAATTCTCTATGCTGTTCCATGGGTTTATTTGTCTATACTGGTACCACAATGCCTTGATTACTGTAGCTTTATAGTAAGTCTTGACATCACATGGTATCTATCTTCCAGGTCTCTTCTTTTTCAAGATTACTTTGGATATTTAAAATCCTTTGAATTTCCATACAGATTTGAAGGTCAGATTGTTAATTTATACCCCCCAAAACCTATAAAAATTATGGCTGGGATTTTATTCAATCTGTAGATAAAATTGAGAAGAATTGACCTGCTAATAATATTGATTTTTCTAATCCATGAACATGGAATGTCTTTTCATTTATAGAGGTCTTCCCATCTTTGGTTAAATTTGTTTCTAAGTGCATAAATGTATGTTATTATAAATATATATTTTTTTAGTTGTCCAAATGTCAGCTGGTATAATGTGATTCACTTCTGTGATATGAGAGTTTGGAAGCCAACCTTGCCCCACATTATTTTCACGTGAGAAGAAGCTTCTTTTATTCATTCCTTCAAAGAGGTAGCAGAGACACGGAGGAGGTTCACCCTAGCCTGAGAGCTAGGGGTCCAAACTTCAGTTCAGGTTTGCCTTTTACTGACTATGTGAACTTGGCCAAGCATGGTAGGATTCTCTCCCTATTTCATTCAACACATTCAGAACATAACTCCTCATTCATTGTGGTATTTTCAGTAATATTTATAGAGGTAAAACTTTTAACTCTGATTCACTTGCACATTTGGAAATCTGGTAGAAGCCTTGAATTTTCTCCTCAGAAGAATGTACACACACACACATGTGCATGTGCGTGTGCACACACACACAGACACACACACACACAGAGTTTTGTGTCCAATTTAGGATGTTCAGGCAACCTCGGAAGGCTGTTCATCAACCTTTGAGGTCCACAAAACCCCTGTTCTAAAGGGAGAGCTCAATGAGGGTAGGAGCTGACTTACTTTACTTATACATCTTCAGCACCCAGTATGGTGCTCAGCCAATCATGACTGCTCAGTGAATGCCCCATCATTGCTGCAACATGCCTGCTGCAAAGCTCGCCATTTTTCCCAAGTAGCACAGCCAGTGTCACAATTAGAGGACAGCAAGATATTGCCTGATGGATGAGCCACATTTCAGATAACCAGACTGGCAGAGTCAAGAGATATCTTAGGGACACCCTGGGCCAGTCACACTAGTGGTCCAATGGCGTCCCAAGGCCTAGAGTTTCAGAGGATCGCCAAGATCAGAATGTGGCATATTTGTGCAGGGGCAAGTATGGATGAGGGCTGCTGATTCTAAATCCCACACCCTTAGTGGGGTTTTCTAGGCAGAGTGAGTATAAATTTCCAAATCCTGAATATTAGACCTGTCTTTCTTCCACCACTAGATACTATACCCCTGTGAGGGAAACAGAAGGGGAACAATTTGGCTGGACTTTCAGCTCTCCCACCAAACCCCTACTTTTCTGTCGCTGTCAGTGAGATCAGCCTGGCAGTTCCCAGCCAGGCAGCTGCCATAGGTGCCCTGGATCCACTCCATGGCAGGACAGTGTTGCTGCACAGACAGCCTGACTCAGCACCAGCCCCAGACAGAAAGTCCCTCCCACAGGGCTGCAGATCCCGGGGTCTGCTGTCCTTGGTGACACTGGCATTATTTCAGGGCAACCCTTTTCTCTTCCTAAAGCCCCAGATTTATTTCATGGAGAGCTCATCCTGCTGTCCTCTCCGTGATTCCCATGAGCGGCACGGGCAAGTGATGGTGACATTGTGTGTGTGCTTCCGTCCACCCAGGTGCTGGGGACATGGGCAGCAAACCGTCCACACCAGGCAGTGACCCCACAGCGCGGTGCCCGGGGACGGAGGGCATTCACGCTGCATACAAGCAAGGAGACCCCAGCAGGGCCCGGCACTTGCTCCAGGAGGCTTGTGATGACAGCACATCCCAGCTAGAGAAGGTAGGGTCAACGCCGGCTCCTTCAACCAGACTGGGGATCTGGCTTGGATGAAGGTTATCATTCAGATTATTTCCTTGTTATCCTCTAATCATAGTGGGGATTTTTTTTACCTCATTTCACGTGTAAACTTAATGGCTGCCAGTCTTGTCAAGCCAGTTCTCAGCCTGCCACTATCTATGCACACCCTTTCACCTTCCCAGGAACTGAAATGTGAACAACAAAAGGCCAGTCTGAAGGTTTAATGTACTGTATTCCTCTACATTTCTTTTCCATTATGAAAATAGCGCAAGCTAACAAGAAAATTTAGAAAAATGTAAAAGTAGAGAGGAAAAGAATAAGAAAGTAACCATATTCCTAATGCAGCCAAATAGTCCCACTTAACAATTTCATTATTTTTTCTCTCCATTTGCTGATCTGTACGTACATTGTTGTTTCTAACAGAGATAAAGTCATTTTGTGTATATAGTTTTGCATGCTGCTTTTTCTCACCTAATGTTATATCAAGCATTTTCCATATGATTATAAATTCGTGTGTGCTTTAAAGCAAGAAAGGTGTTTACACTTCACTTTAACTGGTGAAATGTTGAAACCGGTAGACTTGGTTAAGCTGTGTGTAACACCCAGAGCAACCACTTTAAAAACTATACAAAGAGGTACACTTACCTGGCAAGGGAGATACCATGATCATGAAGATGGTTTTCCCAGGGTGAGGCTCATCCATTGCACTCCGGATGTGCTAAGCCCTGCGATTTCCCTAAATGTGGGAAACTGGACTACATAATTTGTGGTAGTGGGGGACTGCATTCGCACTTTCCCCTGAAAAGAAACAAAACAAAACCATACAAAGAGGTATACTCAAAAACACTATTGACCAATCAAAATGGGATTTGAAAAATGTTTAAGAAGCTCACAGGAAGGCAGGAAAATAATCAGAAAAATGAAAGAGTAAACAAAACAAAACAATGCATGGCAGACCTTAGCTTTAATATGTAAGTAACTATATTAACATAAATTTTCCAAAAACATAAACTTTAAGAGACTGCAGAGTAGATAAAAAAAAATAAATAAATAAACAAAAGGGGTGCCTGGGTGGCTCAGTCGGTTAAGTGGCCAACTTCGGCTCAGGTCTTGATCTCGCGGTCAGTGAGTTCAAGCCCCGCGTCGGGCTCTGTGCTGACAGCTCAGAGCCTGGAGCCTGTTTCGGATTCTGTGTCTCCCTTTCTCTGACCCTCCCCCATTCATGCTCTGTCTCTGTCTCAAAAATAAATAAACGTTAAAAAATAATAATAATAACTAAAAATAAATAAATAAATAACCATGAGCAGCTATATTCTGCCTATGAGAAGCTCACTCCAAAGAGGATATATGTGGGTTGAAAGTAAATGGATAGAAAAAGATATACCATGCAAATATTAATCAAAAGAAAGGAGTGGCTAAGTATCAGATAAAATAGACTTCAGACTAAAGGAAGTTGCCATAGACAGGGAGGAATATTTCATAACGTTGAAGGAGTCAGTCCATCAAGAAGACATAGGAATCCTAAATGTGCATGCACCAAACAACAGAGCTGTAAAATATGTGAAACAAAAACTGGCATAACTGAAAGGAGAACGAGATAAATCCACAATAATAATTGGAGACTTATAGTTTGACACCCTCTCTCAACAAATGATAGAACAACTAGGCAGAAAATCAGTAAGGATACAGAACTTCACACCATCAGCCCACAGAATCAAACTGACATTTATAAAACATTCCACACAACAAGAGCAGAATGCACATTCTTTTCAAGTGTCCACAGAGCATATCTCTAGATAGACTGCACATCCTAGGCCATAAGATAAACCTCATCACATTTAAAAGAATTAAAATCAGACAGAATATGTTCTCTAACTTCAGTGGAATCAAACTGGAAATTAATAGCAAAAAGATAATAGGAAAATCTCCAAGCACCTAGAAGCTAACCACAGACTTTTAAATTACCCATGGATCAAAGACAAGGTCTCAAGGGCAATTTAAAAAATACTTTTAGGGGCGCCTGGGTGGCGCAGTCGGTTAAGCGTCCGACTTCATCCAGGTCACGATCTTGCGGTCCGTGAGTTCGAGCCCCGCGTCAGGCTCTGGGCTGATGGCTCAGAGCCTGGAGCCTGTTTCTGATTCTGTGTCTCCCTCTCTCTCTGCCCCTCCCCCGTTCATGCTCTGTCTCTCTCTGTCCCAAAAATAAATAAACGTTGAAAAAAAAAATTAAAAAAAATAAAAAATACTTTTAACTGAACAAAAATGAAAATACAACATGTCAAAATTTGTGGGATGCAGCTAAGGCAGTGCAGAGAGGGAAATTTATAGCACTAACTACTTACATTAACAAAGAGGAGAAGTCTCAAATTAATGATCCAAAACTTCCACCTAAAGGAGCTATAAGAAGAGCAAAATAAATCCAAATCAAGTGGGAGAAAGGAAATACTAAAATTAAGAGTAGAAAAATGATGAAATTTAAACAGAAAAACAATAGAAAAAGTCAGTGAAAAAAAGGTAATTTTTTGAAAAGATCAACAAAATTGACAAACCTCTAGGAAAACTAACATAAGACAAGAGAAAAATATCTAATATCAGGAAGGAAACAAGGAATGGCACTACATACCCTACAAATATCAAAAGGATTGTAAAGGAACAACTCTATACACATAAATTTGACAACTTAGATGAAATGGACCAATCCTGGAAAAGTACAAACTATAACTCACCACTATAAAATACGTACATGATTTTAATAGCCCTTTAACTATTAAGGAAATTCAATTCACAAGTTAAAACCTCCTAAAAAGAAATCTATAAGGGGGCCTGGGTGGCTCAGTCAGGTAAGCAACAGACTTCGGCTCAGGTCATGATCTCATGGTTCACAGGTTCAAGCCCCACATTGAGCTCTGTGCTGACATGACAGCTCAGAGCCTGGGGCCTGCTTCAGATTCTGTGTGTGTGTCTCTCTCTGCCCCTCCCCTGCTCATGCTCTCTCTCTGTCTCTCAGAAACAAACATTTTAAAAAATTAAAAAAAAAAAAAGAAATCTATAGACCCAGATACCTCCATGGGAGAATTCTACCAAATGTTTAAAAAAGAATTAACACCAACTCTACGAATACTTTTCAACACTTCTGTGAGTCCAATATACCTGATACCCAAACCAGACAAAGACAGTACAAAACAGAAAAGTACAGACTGAGCCATCATGAATATAGATGCAAAAATTCTTAACATATTACAAATAGATTTCAACAATATATGAAAAGAGTTAAACACCATGATCAAGTGGGATTTATTCTAGAGATACAAGACTGGTTCAGTACAGTACTCAATAATCAGCCAATATAATCCTCCATATTAATAGACTGCTACAGACTGAATGTGTCCCCCCAAAATGCCTATGTTGAATAAAGTGATGGTGTTTGGAGTTGAGGCTTCAGGAAGGTGATTAGGTCATAACGCTGGAGCTCTTATGAATGGGGTTAGTGCTCTTATTAAATAGATCCCACAGACCTCCCTAGCCCTATTCTGCCATGTAAGACAGAAGAGATCAGCCACTGGGAGGAAGGCCCTCAACTGACCACATTGGCACCATAATCTCAAACATCCAGCCTCCAAAACTGTAAGAAATAAATTTTTGTTATTTTTCTGCCACTCAGTCTGTGGTATTTTGTTATATCAGTTTGAATGGATTAAGGCTTAAAGTGAAGAAGAAAAAAATCACATTATCATATCACTTGATGCAGAAAAAACATTTGACTAAATTTAATACCCTCATGATAAAAACTCTTAGAAAATTAAGAATGGACGGGAGCTTCCTCAGCCTGATGAATATCTACAGAAACCTACAACAAACTTCATACCTGATGGTGAAAGACTGATTTACCCCTAAATTGGGAATAAGACAAGGATATCTATTCTCAATGTAATACTGGAAGTTTTATTTGAGAATAATTATATAAAATTATATTCAATATATTACTGGGAGTTCTGGCCAATGCAGTAAGACAAGAAAATGAAATAAAAGGCATACACATCTGAAAGAAAAATAAAACGATCTCTTTTTGCAGATGACGTGACAGTCTACATAGAAAATCCAAAAAAGAAATTATCCATAAAAGAAAAAATTGACAAATTAACAACTTTTGCTTTGAGAAAGACCCTGTTAAGAGAGAGAAAAGATAAGCTACAGGCTTGGAGAAAATACTTGCAAATCACATATCTGACAAAGGACTCATCTCTGATTCATACATAAAAAATCTCCCAACATTCAACATAAAAGGCAAACAATCCAGTTAAGTAATGTAGGAAATAGATGAAGAAACATTGTGTGGAAGAGTATATACAAATGGCCAATAAATCCATGAGAAGATGTTCAACATCATTAGCCACTAGGGAAATGCAAATTAAGACACAATGGAATATAACTACATATTGATTAGAATGTCTAAAATTTAAAAAAATAGAATGCCAAATTCTGGTGAGGATGTAGAGAAACTATCTCTCATTCATTATGGTGAGAATATTTCCATTCCGGAAAATAGTTTGGCAGTTTCTTTAAAAACAAAAACACACTTACATTATGACCCAGCAAGTGCACTCCTGAGCGTTTAACCTAGGGAAATGAAAACTTATGTGTGCGCAGAAATCTGTGCATGATTTGTTCTTAGCAGTTCTACTTGTAATAGGAACTAGATACTACATAAAACTCTTAGCAGATGAGTGGTTATACATACAATGGAATATAATATAAAAGTATACTACACATATATAAAATGTAATATATAGTATAAATATATTAAAATATAAATATGATACTAACACAAAGAAACTCTTTGAAATATGCAGCCATTCAGGTGGATCTCAAGGGCATTATGCTGAGCAGGATATTAAAAAAGAAACAATCTCACAAGGTCACATTCTGTATGATTCCATTCGTATATAAACATTCTCAAAATGGCAAAATTATAGAGATGGAAGAGACATTTGTGGCTGCTGGGGTTAGTGATGGTGGAGGGCAGTAAGGTGAGTGTGACAGTAAAGCGGGGAAGGGGAGGCTGGAGAGACTGGTCTCACAATGGAGTAGTTCTGTATCTTTTTTTTTTTTTTTAAGTTTTTTAGTGTTTATTTTTGAGAGAGAGTGGGGAGGGCAAAGAGAGAGGGAGACACAGAATCTGAAGCAGGCTCCGGGCTCCAAGCTGTCAGCACAGATCTTGATGCAGGGCTCAAACCCACAAACCTCGAGATCATGACCCAAGCCTAAGTCCGATGCTTAACCGGCTGAGCTACTCAGGCACCCCGGAGTAGTTCTGTATCTTGATCACAGTGGTGTTTGCACAAGTGCAGAATGATATACCCACATTGTACTAACATCAAATTACTGGGTTTGATCTTGAAGTACAGTTGTGTAAGGTGTCACCATCGAGGGAAACTGAGTTAAGGAAACATGGATGCTCCTCAAGACTGTCTTTGCAACTTCCAATGAGTGTCTACTTCAAAGCAAACAGAAAAAAAAAAAATAAGTGAAGTCTAATTCCACTTTTATAACATTTAAAAACTGGCCAAGAATGAATCTGTGGTGTTAAAAGTCAGGATAGTGGTTATTCCAGGTAGGACAGTGACTAGAAGGGGGACTTTGGAGCACAGATAATCTTAGGTTCCGTGGTCTGGATGTCCATTACATGAATGTGCTCATTTATAACAGTTCATGAAACTGAACACACAATTTGTGTCCTTGTCTGTAGGTGTGTTATATGCCAATAAAATTATAATGACTGCAGGTGCCTGGGTGGCTCAGTCGGTTAAGCATTCGACTTCAGCTCAGGTCACGATCTCAAGGTTCATAAGTTCAAGCCCCATGTCAGGCTCTGTGCTGACAGCTCAGAGCCTGGAGCCTGCTTTGGATTGTATGCCTCCCTCTGTCTGCCCCTTCCCTGCTCGTGCTCTCTCTTTTTGTCTCAAAAATAAATAAACATTAAATTTTTTTTTTTAAGTTACAATGACTAAAGTAAAAAAAGAGTTTGGTTTCATGTGGGATTACCCATGTGTTGATATGGATGAACATGTTCTGGAAGGCTGTGTAAAAGCACTTTCCTTTGCAAAAGGGCATTGGGAAGTAGAGGTATGGAGGGAGGCCTCCTTTTTTATTTTATACTTTTCTGTGCTATTTGAATTAAAATAAATACACGCTATAGAACCTCTGGGCTGTCTCTAGCCAGAGTGCCAGCCCTGACCTTTCCTGCCTTCTGGTTCCTCTTGGCTTCAGGCTGACTCCTAGGAAATTACCACTTCATGAGGATGGGGCTTTTAAGCCTCCAACCCACTAGCGTCTAGACAGCTGTTGGTTGTGTGCAGTGAATCATTTAATCAATCCCTGTGGTTTTTCTCCCTAAGGCAAGTGCTTTCCTGGAATGGCAGGCCTCCCGGGCCCCACCCCGGGCAGATTGGCAGGCCAGTGGGTTTTGCTTTTTCGGTCATATTGAATGAGTATGTCACGTCACCAGCTCATTCACTCTCCTTCAGAGCCCAGGCCTCCCTCCAGGTCCCACGGTTCCTGGGAAGTCTTGGGTAGAATGGGGAGAACATAGGTTTGGGGCTAGACAGACCCCAGTTCAAATCCTGGATAGTTCTGCAGACTGTAAATTCCCTCGCTGTGGGCAAGCCTTCATTTCCTCACCCACAAGATGGATATACAGTGTGAAAATAAATAAAAGAAACCTCACTTAAACTGGAGTCTGGAAGCCCTGAAGGGGAGTTCTCACGCACTATCACTCACCTTCAGAAGCAAACCCTGCATTCTCCAAGGAGGCTTACTTACCACACCGCAGCTGGAAGAAGGAAGAATTTCTCCTTGCCCAGCAACAGCCCAGCCAATGGGAACTCAGTGAAACACCCTCCCAGCTTCTTCCTTTTTCCCTTGTAAAAGTAAGCCCCTCTCTTCTGTTCTCCAGACTTGGCTATGGTTCACTGTAGTTGGCTTGTCCTGAATTGCAATTCCTCTGCTATTCCCAAATAAACCCATTTTGCAGGTAAAATAAATGGCTCTTTACTTTTTAATTTTAAGTCTATTTATTTATTTTTGAGAGGTGAGGGGGAGGAGGAGCAGGAAGAAAGAGCATCCCAAGCTGTGAGAACAGAGCCTGACGCGGGGCTCGATCCCACAAACCGCAAGATCAATACCTGAGCCGAAATCCAGAGTCAGACACTTAACTGACTGAGCCACCCAGCCACCCCAGGCTCTTTTCTTTTTTTAAGATCAACAACAAATACAGTCCTCACAAGACTGTTATCAGGATGAAGTGTGACCATGTAAATAGGATGTTCAGTGCATGATAAGAGCTTAATATATCTGTCCCCATCCCTGGGATTCTGTTGACCCATCCCTGTCCATCTCACCCTACAGTGACTCTGAAAGCACAGGTTTCCTAACCTGTTCAGCAAGCAAAATGTGCTCTTTCATGCCACGGATTGGTTCTGGCACCCTCAGTGCTCATCTCAGCTTCTTACACACAGTAGTACGTCCTCAATAAATGTCAGTGATGGCACAGACTGCCTCAGTGCCAATGTGGGTTCTGCGTGCACCTCCTTGAACACCGCTGATGCCCAAGTCCATGGGGAATAGTCAAGTTCCAGGAGGACCTCACGTTTCAGTAATGCAGTCACACGCTGCACATGCCAATCCAGCGTTCTTTCGGCAGCCCCGGTGAGCCCACGAAAAGCCAAGGCCATTTTTATAGTCTTTGAGAGCCATTTCCTAGCTGTGTGATCACAGGCAAGCTACAAAACCCCTCTGAACCTCCACGTCCTTGTCCATGTGTTAGTATTCTGCCTCAGATGGGGATACTCACACGGTCCCCATCCTCGTGAAGCTTATGCTGTCCCAAAGAAACGGAATGGGAGCCACATTTGTATCAAGTTGTCTAGCAGTCACATTCAAAAAGGAAACAGAAACAGATGAAATATCAACCGTATATTTTATTTAATCGGAATGTATTAAAGATCATTTCAACACGTGATCAATATAAAAATTATTGACGAGGTCGTTGACAGTTTTGGACTGAGTCTTTGAAAATTGCGTGTGATTTTATGCTCCCGGCTCCTCTCACTTTGTGTGAGCCCTCATTGCAAGTCCCCAACACCCACATGCGACCCATAGTGCCATCCCAGACAGCACAGCCCAGTCTTGCCCACGGACTTGGCGAGGCATTTCGAGTTGATTCTCTTGGTAACTTCCTAACAGCACCCAGCTCCCCAAAGTCCTATTGTTCCTGCTCTGTTTTGACCAGGGCCGGCTTCTGAGCATCTCAGCGGCCTATGGGGATCTGGAGACCGTCCGATACCTTCTCACCGAGAGACGGGTGGAGCTGCCCACGGAGCCCACCGATGACAACCCAGCTGTGGTGGCAGCTCATTTTGGGCACACTGACGTCGTGCAGGAATTGCTTGAATCTTTGCCAGGTAAATGCCAGGGTGTGAGTTTCTTGGCTACCTCTTAGGACACCCTCTTCTTAGGAATTAGATCGGCATGCG